TATTTTATTAAAAATACTTCACTAAAAAATATGATTTTTTATATGTGAAAGACATGTAACATGAACTGAAAGAATGCCAAATTTTGTGAAGATATACTCACTATATTCTAAGTTAGAAGTATTAAATGTATAAAGACTTTAATTGAGTACAAAGAGGTCAAGTGGTTGATCAAATTGACCGAGCCCGTGTTGAGAGAGTTAAATTGACTAGTTTAATAAGATATTAAGTTAAATACTAATTTATAGAACAGTCTGTTGCTCTAATTTTTACTTACTGAATGCAATAGAATAGTAGTTTTATGTTTGGATTTAAAATTTAGCATAATATGCTGAAATCTGAATTTTCTACATTTTAAGCTATTTTTGCAATAATTTTCTAAACATTTTTGGTCAAAACCAGGAGAATCTTGACAATATTGTAACTCATGTAAGTAGAATAACTTTAATTTCTTTCAGTTACTATAGCTGATTATCAGTTTCTAGATTTACATAAAGAATAAATAACAGCTTTAAAAAACTTTGTAAAAAATAATGTTATGAATAAATTTGAAGTCCCCCTGGTGGCTCAGCAGTAAGTCTGCAGGCATGTATTTGAGTAAGGAAGCACATTATGATAATATAATAACAGGTAGGCAAACAACAACGTATAAGCATATGGAAAAGTTTTATTGATGGTGGAATATAGTACATGTTTCAACAGAACATTGGTCTGAAGAAGACAGACACACAGAATATTAATTCCATTTTATCAATTACAGATATGAATTTTTTTAAAGAAAGACAACTGCAAATGTGTGTGTGTGTGTGTATATATATAATGATAAACAAAACTTTAACTTAAAACAACAGTTGTTGGTTAATTCACTACTGGAAATTTGGAATGTACATAGTGTTAATATTAATCCAGATATATATATAAAATATTCTAGAGATTATTATTTCAATACTTTTGGAGCAGTCCTGCCATTCACGTGTTTCAGTAACCTCCTTTTCATTTCAGACAATTTAGGGATTTCCTAAAACATTTAAAAATAGACCAGGGATTACCAGAAAGCTAGAGGCACCATTCGAATGACTGAAGTAAAGAAGTTAATTTCACGAGACATAAAACACAATTATGGTTTTAGAAAAAAGTATACAACTATACATTTGGTGACAAGGTAAAATAGGATAAATGCTTAAAATTCTAATTGGCAATATTAGTTATTTGAAATTTAGTCTTATCAGTTTGCTTCACCTTGTTGCGAACAAGGTTATATTAGATCTTACCACAAGCTAGAGGCAGACATTTGTCAAAGAACATGTAAGTTTAAATATACTGAATAGCTCAAGTGTATTGGAGCATCTCCTAACTGTCTGATAAGTCATCCTTTCAAATGATTTTAAGATCTTTATTTAGGCCAGTAACAAAGTCTGTATAAAAAGGAGCTAACTCATTCATAAGCAGAAGCCACAACCAATCACCCAGTTCCATTAATAAATTGCTTCTGTTTATAGTGAAAAAGTACTTTGTCTAATTATCTTCTTACTGAAGATAACATAATTAGTCTGACACTGATTAAATCTGTATACAGTAGTTCTTCTGAGAGATATTGTAACTTGAAACCAAAGAGAATTATGATATTGTGGTTAGGTAAGTTAATCATTTTGGCACTGACAATCCTTAACCAGTATTTGTTCTTTGAGATGTTATAGCAAAGGCTAGAGGAAACTGGTATTATGTCTTTAAAGGTAGATTTATCATCGTTACATTGCTCATGTTTATATATATATGTATATATATATATATATGTATGTATATGTATATATATATATATATGTATGTATATGTATATATATATATATATGTATGTATATGTATATATATATATATATATGTAT